GGGGGTGTTCTGTACCAGTGGGTATGGGGGGGAATGGTCTGAGCCGGCGTGACAGGGGGATGTTCTGTACCAGCGGGTATGGGGGTGTGTGTTTTCTACCAGCGGGTATGGGGGTGTTCTGTACGAGCGGGTATGGGGTGTGTGTGTTCTGTGCCAGCAGGTATGGGGGTGTGTGTTCTGTGCCAGCGGGTATGGGGGGTGTGTGTTCTGTGCCAGCGGGTATGGGGGGGGTGTTCTGTGCCAGCCGGTATGGGTGTGTGTGTTCTGTGCCAGCGGGTATGGGGGGGTTGGCATGAGGTCCTACAGTTCTTCATCCTTCGTTTTGTTTTACGTGCTATTCTCTGGTGTGAAAATGTTCTTTCTTTCTTGTGACAAGTTTGGGATTTTTTTTTTCTTTTTTTTTTTTAGATTTTTTTAACTTTTTAATGTTTATTGATTTTGAGAGGGAGACAGAGAGTGAGCAGGGGAAAGGCAGAGAGAGAGGGAGACACAGAATCTGAAGCAGCTTCAGGCTCTGAGCTGTCAGCACAGAGCCCGACGCGGGGCTCGAACCCACGAACCAGGAGATCATGACCTGAGCCGAAGTCAGATGCTTAATCGACTGAGCCACCCAGGCGCCCTGCCCCTCTTTTCTTTTTATCCTTTCTTGGGAATTTAAGACAACAGCAACCTTGGGTGTGCGCCCCAGACTTGTGAGGGAAGCATTCCCAGGCTGGAGTTTTCCGAAGACTGTCTGAAAACCACCGTCCTGGAAACAGGGCCCCTTTTGCCAAGGAGCCTGGATTTTCTCCCCCAGCTTCCTGGGCGCTGCCCAGTGTGGCTGCTTCCTGCCCCAGCCCCTCCCCCTCCGGCAGGCTCCACCCACTTGTCCTCTGTCCCCTCCACCGTACTTGGGGGGGGGGGCATCAGAATGGTTTGTTTGTTTTTAAACAGTACTGACTCCGTCAGTTCCGTCAGTATAAGAAATGAGTAAGGACAAAACTTTGGTTTGAAACAGAGGCAGGGGTGAGGGGGGTGGGATACCGCGGAGCCCCGGGCTTCCCTGCGCACTGAACCCAGGGCACCACACATCAGGCAGGGTTGCCCTTCCCTTTACATGTGAGCAGCACCTGCTGCAGGGGGGCCGTGCGGCGGGGGGAGGGGCTCCAGGGCCAGGACCTCCCCCACCCCGACCTCAGGGCCCAGCTCTGCTGGCCCTCGTGACTGGAGACTTTTGTCATTTTTAAGATGCACATAGGCCACACAGCCACCTTGAAGTTCAGGATGAAATGCAAGATACAGAAGTTTAGCCAAGTTTGTTTTTTTTTTAACCTTTGCCTTCTTCCTAGAGGACCACTCCCGTCCCGGGTGATGTACATCCCTGGGGATCGTTTGGCGACGTCTAGATGTTTTGTTGTCAGAACTTGGGTGGGGGGGGCATCTCGTGGGTGGAGGCCGAGGTTGCTGCTAATGTCCTGTGGTATTTGGAATAGTTCCTCACAGCAGAGACTGATCCATCCCACAATGCCGGTTGTGCTGAGGCCAAGGCCTGCCCTGCAGCCCACTGGACGCCGGGAGCTGATGCTCGACGGCTGTCGTGTGTGTAAAGGTCTAGGTCTGACACAAGACACCTGCCAGATTTTATATCGTTTACTGCTTGTGAAAGTACTCGTTTTATAGTAAATGTTATATTTTTATGATAAAAATATATACATATATATGCTTATGCCTAAAAATATCTGAACAGAGGTACACAAAAATGCTCCGTATGTTTATGGGTAATTTTTGTCTTCTTTCTACCGTCCTGAACTATGATCTCCTAAAACGGTGATCTGGTATTTCCTTACCAGCAGAAAAGATGGCCAAGGCCTTTGCCTTCAGTGGGAGGAACTGGGGGCTGGACCATTAGTAAAGCTGGTCTGTTTTTTCTTCAGGTGGCCTGGGCCTCTCCAACACCATGTACGCACGTCTGGGAGAAATCATCAGCCTGGACGGGTCGATCGCCGTGACCCTAGCAGCGCACCAGGCGATTGGCCTCAAGGTCGAGTGTCCAGGGCTTCTGTCTGAGGCTGTTGGTCTAGAGTCCTGCAGGGGCGTCGAGCCCGAGCCTTGCTCGTTCCTCCCGGGAAGTGAATCGGGCGTGTGTTGGCTCTCGGAGGGGTCCTGCGGCGCCTTCTCTCTCCAGCCACACGGGCTGCGCTGGGGCCCCACACAAGCAGTGGTGCCTCGGTCACACAGTCCGTCCCCTGGGAGCCCTCCTGTCCCCATCGCCTTGGATGGATCCTTTGAGCCCCACATCAGATACTGAGGGGCCTGCATTCACCTCATGCCGGAAACGAGCCTCCCCGCTGAGCCTGTGACTCGCTAGCGGCCTGAGCGTCCCCCCCACCCCAGCTGTTTGTGCACATGTGTCCTTGTCCCTGGGCTCGGAGCATTTTAGGGCAGAGCCGCGGTCATGCCCGCTGACGGTCCCATGACTCAGGCTGTCTCTGCTCCCTGGAGAAAGTGAAGGGGGCCAGGTGAAGAGTGTGCCTACTCCCCCCCCCCTCCAGGCTCTGAGCAGGCCTTGGCGGGCAGAGTGGACTTCTCCCCGGGGCACCGACGGAGAAGGTGCGGACAGTTCTGACGCTGACCACACAGTATTCACCCCTGTGTCTCCAAACACCCCTCCAGTGGGTGGGTGTGGCCCCAGCGAACCGTTGGTGGGATGGAGGCTCAGAGAAGGGACCTCCCTGCCCGAGGCCACCTAGCCTGGTGACGACAACCCCGAGTGTGACCCCAGCGCCATGCTGGCCCAGGCCCCTCCATGCGTGCCCTTCAGGGGGCTCCTTAGTGGCCTGGCAGCCATACCCGTTGGCCACTATCATTTCCCGGCTGGGGCTGCTCAGCGTTTGCTCAGGCGCGATGTGGTTTCTCCAGAAGGAGCACGTTCTGCAAGCGCCTCACACTCGGTCCCCCCATGGCTGACAGTGCACGTGTCTGGTTTCAGGGGATCATCCTCACCGGCAGCAAGGAACAGAAAGCCAAATACCTGCCCAGGCTGGCGTCCGGGGAGCACGTCGCCGCCTTCTGTCTGACGGAGCCGACCAGGTGCGGCCGCCTCCGAGGAGCCTTCTGGGGCCCCGGGATGACAGCTGTGGGATTCGGCTCACAGCTGGTGGCTTTCCTTTCTTCCCTCCCTGAACCTTCCGGAGAGGCCCCTCGGCAGCTGTTCTTGCCAGCTCTTGCCCTCCCCTCATTCCCTGCCCCGCTGGGGCTCAGAGTGAGGTCAGCCCCGGGGCCGCCCCCGCCCGCAGCACCCCTCACGGGGGCGCAGCGACAGCCTCTGAGCCACTTGGCGAGGGCGTCGGTCCCGTGAGGCATCCTCCGTCCGAGATCACACAGCCGGCTTAGGACACTCCTGCTGACAAATCCGTCCCCTGGGCCACGCTCCGTCCTGCTCCCCCTCACCGGGGGCTGGGCGTACCCGGCACCCCTCACGGGAGCTCAGACGAACCCGTTCTGTGCACACATCCGGGTGTTTAAACCTAAGCCCATGCGGTTTTCACTGCCAGGCTTTGTTTTTTTGTTTTTAAAGCCTTGGCTAGTTGTTTCAGGTCTTTGTTTTTAAGTTTGTTCATTTTTGAGAGGAGGGGGGCAGAGGGGCAGAGAGGCCAGGATAGAGAATCCCACAGAGGCTCTGCCTCACAGCACAGATCGACGCGGGGCTCGAACTCCCGAACCGTGAGATCCCGGCCTGAGCTGAAGTCGGAAGCTTAACCGCCTGAGCCCCAGGGTGCCCCGCATTGCCGCTCTCTGATGTGATGAAGCCGGGGTGGCCAGCCGGCCCCCTGTCTTTGTGATAAGGTTTCCCTGGAGCTGCTGCTTGTTTCCAGGTTGTCTGCGGCCACCTGCGGGCCCCAGCGGCAGGGGGAGTGGGTGGGACAGGCACCTGCGGGCCGAATGTGTGTTATCTGGCCCTTTATCTTTAAAGGCCTGCCAGCCCCATACTGCGCTCCAGACCCTCCATCTGCCCCCCAGGAGCCCGCCCGGGCCGGCACTGCTGTCCTCACCGCGTGTTTGTTTCCGCAGCGGGAGTGACGCGGCCTCCATCCGGACCAGGGCCACACTAAGCGAGGATGAGAAGTACTACGTCCTCAACGGCTCCAAGGTAGTGCCCCGTGGCCCGTCTCCGCACCCCGCGGACCATAAAGCATGTGCACCTCGTGTCCTGACCATCTGTGCTCAGGACGGGGTGGGGGGAGCTCCTCTTTGTGGAAGAAGCAGCTGTGGTTCGAGCTGAGGTGACTTGGAAGCATCCTGTGTCTGCTCGGTGGCGGAACCAGGATTGGAGGCGAGGGCCCTGCCCGCGGAGCCCCCGTGCTTCCGCACCGCCCGCCGCCCCCACAGTCCACACAGGATTTGGGACAGGTGCGGCAGTGTCGTGTGACGAGCTCTCGTGTGGCCGTCACCGGCTCCCACGGTTACCAGCCCACGGCCCGCCCTGTTTCTTCGTCAGCGTGGCCACCCCCGGGTTGCACCCCTAGGGTTTGAGCGTATCTCGGCCAGATAGGACTGTTTAAAAAACCCAGTTGATGGGGCACCTGGGTGGCTTAGTCAGTTAAGCGTCCGACTTTCACTTAGGTCATGATCTCGCGGTTTGTGGGTTCGAGCCCCGCGTCAGGCTCTGTGCTGACAGCTCAGAGCCTGGAGCCTGTTTCAGTCTGTGACTCCCTCTCTCTCTGACCCTCCCCTGCTCACGCTGTCTCTCTCTCCTAGAAATAAATAAAACATTTTAAAAATATATATATATATATCGCTCTCAAAATAAATAAACACACACGCACACACACAAAAAAAACACATAAAAAACCCAGTTACTTGTTTCTTTCTCTCCAGTCAGTGTTCCAGTTCCTTGGTTGTTTCATACCTTTTTATTTTTCAAAGACTCTGAATCAAGATCCCGTTACGTTGCACTTCGTTGCACTGTCTTTCCCGTCCCTCCTCGTCCCCTCTCTTCTGTGCCGCTCCTTCCTGCCTGCTCTGTTCTCTTGCGGAACCTGGCTGCTCGGTTCTAGAGCCCAAGCCATCTCGGTGCCACTGGCATCTCTTTCGTGCACACGCACACACACACACACACACACACACACACACACGGCCACGTGTGCCCCTCAGGGGGCCCTAGCTCTGGGGAGATGGGGGTGTCCCCCTGCCTTCCCCATGCAGGCCTGGCCTCACCAGGGCCGAGCTTGTTTCTGGGCTGAACCGCGATGGGCTGCTGGAGCCCCTGCCGCAGCCGCGGAGCCGAGCGGGGTGCGTAACGGTCTTGTTCTCTCCAAAGCCCGTTTCCTTCTTCCCTCAGGTCTGGATCACCAACGGAGGCCTGGCCAGCATCTTCACCGTGTTCGCCAAGACGCAGGTTGTGGATTCTGACGGCTCCGTAAAAGACAAAATCACAGCGTTCATTGTGGAGAGAGACTTTGGTGGGGTCACTAGCGGGAAGCCCGAGGACAAGTTAGGCATACGGGGCTCCAACAGTAAGTGTGCTGTGGGGGGGTGTGCACGCGCGTGTGTGCGTGTGCGCTCTGGGGGGTGTGCACGCGTGTCTGTGCGTGTGCGCTCTGGGGGGTGTGCACGTGCACTGTGGGTGTGTGCTGCAGGTGTGTGCACGCGTGTGTGTGCGCTGTGGGGGTGCACATGTGTGTGCTGCGGGGGCGTGCGTGTGCGCTGCGGGGGGGTGCACGCGCGTGTGCAGGAGAGGCACCCTTCAGCCCCATCCAAGTTCGAGACACAGTGAGATGTAGATAGTTTGGGTTTCACAGAAGCACGTCCGCGAAATCACGTCAAGAAGGCCCCAGTGAGAGGCAGCGGCCCCAGGGGTCAGGTGTCCAGCTCCCACCTCCGCGCAGGTCACGGTCTCACGGCTCCTGGGATCGAGCCCTGCGTTGGGCTCTGCTCTGGCCGCGAGAGGCCTGCTTGGGATCCTGCCTCCCCCCAACCATGTGCTCGCTCGCTCGCTCGCGTTCTCCAAGATTAAACAAAAGCCAGGAAACCCTCGGTGGCTTCAGGGCAGCGCAGAGGGGCTCCTCCGGCTGACTTCTCTCAGCTGAGGCCCTCGCCGCAGGCCCTGCTCACCTCTGCGTGAGCACGCTCCCGCCCCCCGCATGCTCCCGCCCGTGCCGGCCACCAGAGGGGGTGTCCTAGTTCCCCCCACTGCCAGCCGCCCACGCCCCAGGCCGGCCCGGCACCCCCTCCCTCCTCAGCCCTTCCCTCGTGCCCGCCCAGCGCTGCCGTGGAGTCTTCCCCAGGCCCCCCCCACCTTGGAGACCCCAGTTCAGACTATGAGGTGTCCGTGCCGCAGGGGCCCGCGTGCTACCCTTGGCGCCTCTGGACCTGCTGTTTGCACTCGGGTCTGGCTGGCGACGTTTGCCACGGCGGCCAGGCTCGGGGCCGGGGGCCCTGTGCGCTCTAAGCTGCCTCCGCTGCCTGGAAACCCTGTGACCTTGCACCGGCCGCTTTACCTTCCGGGCCCCCGTTTCCTCACCCAAAGGAAAGGGGTGGTGACGGGACACGGGCGGCGTCCATGCGATGCTCCCGCACACGGAAGCCGGACGGCGTCAGCTCCTGCTGCTGCTGGAGTCCCCGCCAGCCTCTCGCCGCCCGTTGCTGCTTAGAACGTTTGAGCCTAGAGAGAGCTTGGCCTGCTGGTGTGGCAGAGGCGGCCCAGACAGGGCCGTCCACACTGAGCTCAGGGAAGGCCCTGGGGTCACGCAGTGGCCCCGCAAGAGGGGACCGAGGGCACGAGTTGAGGGCAGAGAGGGCAGCGGACTCCCCCACACACTCAGCAGCCTGGGGAAGGAGTCAGAGCCGCTCGGCAAGGGCCTGGCCCGCAGCCATGGCTATAAAATGGGCCCGGCCGCCAGAGACACGGAGGCTTCCTCCTATTTCACAGCCAGGCTCCTGGAACAGTAGAATGAAGGTTCGCAGACCTGGGTGCCTGCACTTGACCTACTGCTGTCTAGCTGCTCCTGAGCCGTGACCATCTGTCCTGAGTGTCTCCCCCTTTTCCAGGGCTAAGTCGCTAGGAGTTGCCGTGTTTTTTGTTGTTGTTTTTTAAGGTTTTTTATTTATTTCTGAGAGAGAGAGACAGCACGAGCAGGGGAGGGGCAGAGAGAGAGGGAGACACAGAATCTGAAGCAGCTCCAGGCTCTGAGCTGTCAGCACAGAGCCTGACATGGGGCTCAAACCCACAAACCATGAGATCATGACCTGAGCTGAAGTCAGACGCTTAACTGACTGAGCCACCCAGGCACCCCAGGAGTTACCGTGTTTATGTGACAACGTGCAAAGGCTGCTACAGAAAACTGGCCCCAAAATCCCCGTCCCCACCACTGCCATGCTTTCCCTTCTCTGCCTGCCTCTGTCACTTTGACCTTGGCTTTCTGCTTCACACCAAGTGCTTCCTCGCTTCATCACCCGCATCACCTTGTCCGAGAAGCCACCCCAGCACTGAGCTGGCAGAGCAAACCGCCCTCTCCCTCAGCCTGGGGGTGCCCGACAGCCCGCCTCGGGGTCTGGGTCCCTGTCTGCCATCTGGGGCCCATTTCCCTCACGGCGGGTCACAGCCCCTGGGGGCCAGGCCGGGTCACACCTGAGGCCTTGGCTCCTGGTGGGGCGACAGCTGGTGGGGAAAGGCAGTCTGCCTCCACCCAGTCATGGTGCAGGGCGTGGCTGCGTCCACGTTATGTGGGACCCGCAGTCCCATGAGACGCAGGGGCCTTACGGAGGCTGTGCTGTCCACTTTCCTCCTTCTGCCTCTGACTCTTGCTCCTCCTTCAAACTTCTGCTGAATGTCACCTTAGAAAAGCCTGACGTGAGCCCTTAAAATTATTATTCACATTCTCTCCAACCTCTGATTGTTACCATACTCTATTTTTTAAAATTTTTGTTTATTTTGAGAGAGAGAGCACGAATCGGGAGGGGTGGAGAGCGCGGGAGAGAATCCCAAGCAGGCTGTGCAGTGTCCGCTCAGAGCCCAGCGCAGGGCTCAAACTCGCAAACCCTGCGGTCATGACCCTGGCAGAAACCAAGAGTCGGACCCGTAACCGACTGAGCCCCCACGCGCCCCCGCCGTGCTGCTTATCGTCTGTAGCGCTTACAGCGTCATCGCGCCCCCTGCGCAGTGTGAGCCGCACGAAGACAGGCCCGTGCCCTCCTGAGCTGCCCTGTCGCGGCTGGAGGACGGACGAGGGACGGGGCTCCGGTGCCTGTGAGTCCAGCGCAGAGCGGTGTGCAGCCTGCGATTCCCTCTCTTTCAGCCTGTGAGGTCCATTTTGAGAACACTAGGGTGCCGGTCGAGAACGTCCTTGGAGAAGTCGGAGGCGGGTTTAAGGTGCGTGGTTAGAGCAGCCCCTGTGAGGGCTGTGGTCATGGTGTGGCCCGTCGCCCCCCCCCCCCGCCCCGCCCCCCCCCCCGGCGATTCTACGCCTCACCCCTCCTAGGCAACGTCGCTCACATGAACCAGGCTGCTTGCCTCCCCAGGCACAGCCCCTGCACGCCGTCCCCCNCGGGTTTAAGGTGCGTGGTTAGAGCAGCCCCTGTGAGGGCTGTGGTCATGGTGTGGCCCGTCGCCCCCCCCCCCCGCCCCGTCCCAGCCCTGCTTGTGGCCGACCGGTGCGTGCACGCACCAGGCGACTGCGGCGGCGTCCGCTGGGAAATCGTAATGGAGGAAAGTTGGTTCCCACACGAGGAGCGTGTAGATGGAACAAGGTCTCCTTCCCCTGTAAGACTGTTTGCCCTGAGGAGGGCAGGGTCCCCTGTGCAGCGGGCGTGGGCAGGGGCCGGCGGGCACTGGGGCAGCCCCGGGGCCGGAGTCCCTGCCCTGGTTTCCCCTCAGCCAGCGTTGGTGTTACTTCCCATCGACACGTGACTCCCGTAACACAAACTTACCACTTTCACCCGTACTGGTGTGTGTTTCCCACGTCCCCCGTGTCGCACAGCCGTCACCTGATTCCGGAACACGTTTCTCCGCCCAGAACCAAGTGCCGCTCTTCTCACTGCTCCTGTCACCACCTCTGCTCTCGCTATTTTTCTGCTTCTCTGGATTTGCACAGTTTAAACGTCTCACGTAAGCGGAACCCGTATGTGACCCTGGCGTGCGGCTGCTCTGCACCCCGCACGGCGATCTCAGGGCTTCCCCGCGCCGGAGCGAGCGTCCCTCCTTTCTGAGGCTGAGGGAGACTCGCCGTGTGGCTGCAGCTCGTGGACATCTGGGCTGTTTCCACTCGTGGGGACTGTTGTCAGTAATGCGCGTTTCCGGTTCCTTGGGGTGTTTACCTAGAAGTAGCAGTGGTGACCGTGTCTAACCCTGAGGAACCGCCAGACATTCCCGGCGGCGGCAGCGCAGGGTCCGGTTCTCCGCGGCCTCCCCAGAACTAACCGCTGCGCCCAATGTGGGGCTCAAACTCACGCCCCCGAGAGCCGGTGTCTCACGTTCCACTGAATCAGGCAGCCGGCGCCTGCCCTTCACACGTTTTCACCCCAGGCTGTTTGTCTTCATTGTCGCCCTGCCCTGATTTCCCGGGTGCTCGGGGCAAGCGTCTTCGCCCTGGGGAGCCCCACCCGCCTGGGCTGTGAAGCGGGGTCACAGCACCTTCCTCCCTCTCTGGGTGTGACAGGAATCTGTAGAGGGGGGCGCACGTCTTAGCCGTGTGGCCCAGACGCTCCGTCCAGGCGGGAGGGTCCGGGGGGGAGGGCGGGGGGACGGGGTTCCTGACTCCGGGGAAGCTGCTCTTCATTGTTCGCAGTTTCAGTGCTTATCTTCCTAGGTCTTTCTAGAGGGCACCGTCCCCTAAATGTTGGTAACACCGCCCGTGCCAAGTGCCAGGGCCCCAGGCCAGTAAACAGGTGTTGCGAATGTTTCATGCTGCAGAATGTCTCTCTGTGTGGCGATGGCCCCTTTGATGTCCCCAGGTCCCTGGGGTCGGGTGTTCAGTACGGTCTTCACGCCTTCCCTGCTCAGACCCGTGTTGTGGGCTGTGTGTCCTTGCTTGTATCTGCACGCACGTGTCCACTTCTTTCCTGAGTCTAAACACCCGACAGGAGACTCCCCAGGTCAGAGAGCACTGACGACTTTAATCTGTGGCCCCTGCTGCCCAGCCGTGTGCGGGGAGGTGGGCCGGCGGCGTGTGGGAGCCCCTCGCCTGGTGCTTTCTCAGCCCCCCTGTGGGAGATGAGAAAAGCAGTCGTTTTAACATACAATAGAAAACTTTGATATTAGTAGGATTGCTTACCAGTCAGCCGAAATGCTAAAAAGTGAGGGATTCCAGAGACCACGAAGTGGCCAGAGGCCAGGTGAGACTTGCCTGGCTGGTGTGGGAGGAAAGTACGTGGCGTCCTCTGGAGAGTCTGAGGCTTGTCCACGGTCAGACCTTTGAGGCACAGAGGAGGTGCGCGGTCGGGCAGGGGCTCTGGAAAGCGAGGGGCGTGTCTGGCTTGTAGGCAGGCTGCGGGGCAGGGTGCAGCTGTAGAAATTCTGGAAGGTGAGGCACCGACCTCAGTTAAGCTTCTGACTTCAGCTCAGGTCATGATCTCACGGTTCGTGGGTTCGAGCCCCACGTCGGGCTCTGTGCTGACAGCTCGGAGCCTGGAGCCTGATCCAGATTCTGTGTCTCCCTCTCTCTCTCTGCCCCTCCCCCACTCATGCTCTGTCTCTGTCTCAAAAATAAACAAACGTAAAAAAAATTCTGGAAGGAGAGGGCTGCGGTAGGGAAGCTGGCAAAGCATTCTGGAGTGCACGGGCAGGAGTGGGGGGTCCCAGGCTTGAGTAGGGCTGATACATAAGCTCGGGGGCCCCTCTTGAGAAAGGGGTAAGTCTGTTTAGGTTTTTGATTCTCTGGGCAATGAGACCTAGTCTCAGATCTTTTATTCCTTGAAAAAAAAAAAAATTTTTAACGAGGGTAAGAATAAACCCTGAAGGGCCCATGAAGTGGATTTCATTCATGGAACCATGAGGCGGCTTCTGCAAGCCCCTGTGGGCAGAGCAGCTGAAGGCGGGAGAAGTCACTTCCTCCTCAGAGTCCCAGCGGGTCCCCAGACTCGCCTGAGCCCTGGGGAGTCTGAGGCCAGCGGTGTGGCCCGGGAGGAAGCCGGGCAGGATCTGGGGCTCTGGCACACTGTGCCCGCACGTCACCGCACCCTCCCCTCTACCCGGCACCCAGGGCTGGGCTCCTTCCCGCGTCCCCCAGGGCCCTGGGCCTGAGCGGGTTGGGGCCCGCATGCGCCCCTCCTGGCAGCTGGGGCAGCGGTTGCTCACCTCACGAAGTCTGCTCCGAGATTCTCCTGCTCAGGTCAACGGGTCATCAAAAGTTCAGGTTCAGCTGCATGATCGGTTCATCCAAGTCACATGCAGGCATCTGGTGAAAAGCTGGAATACGCTGGAAGTTGAGCTCTGTAGAGAACTGTGGTGTTCACAGACCCCTTAGCCCTCAGCCCGGCCTGCCGTCGAGGCCTCCCAGTTGGGCCTCACAGGGTTTGGGGTGGGGGGCACTGCTGTTCCCCAGGAGGCTCGTGCTGGTGGGAAAGGCTGGGTACGTGTGGGGTACCTCGTAGGCTTCATGTCTGCTCCTCTTTGAGGGCTGAGAACTGTCCTGTTCTGGAATAACATTCCGTCCTTCGTGGGGGTGGCTCCACGGAGGTTGGCTGGAGCTCCCTTGCAGGAAAGTGCTGGGACCACACGCTCTCCCACCCAGCCGGTGGGGATTGGCGGGGCAGGTAACCTTCCCAGATGCTGGCCCAGAATTCTCCAGACTTGCCCTTTGTGTTCATGAAACCGGGGAAAAACAGACAAGCAGCACCGGGTTCTGTCCCCTGGGGTCCCCCAGGGCCCCCGGGCTTTTCCCCAGGCAGCAGGGTGAGCAGAACGCTTGGGTGGTGCCGTCAGTGAGCCCCCCCTCCCTGCAGGTGGCCATGAACATCCTCAACAGCGGCCGGTTCAGCATGGGCAGCGCCGTGGCCGGGATGCTCAAGAAGTTGATCGGTAGGTAAGTCGGGGACAGGAGCCCTTGGTGGCACGGCCGCGCTCCGGGGGCCCCACTCTGGCCGCAGGCCCTGCTGCGTCCTCACAGTGGGCCGGTGCCGAGCCGGGCCCCTGGACGGACAGCCCGGCCGCGGCTTAAGGTGCCGCTTCACTGTAGGCCCAAAATTGTAGTCCATCTGCACCCAGGCGGCTCCCGCCCCCGTTCCCCGCTGCTCTGTTTTACCCGCTCATAAAGGATCCGGGGTGGTCGGTCCGAGGGCAGGAGCTGCTTAGCAGACGTCCGGAGGTGAGCAGCTCCTCAGTGCATATTCTCGCAGATCCCGTTTGGTGGGTGACTCAGTGGGTGAGGAGTGGATCTCCCATCGCTGGGCTCTGGTCCAGGTGCCTCCGGGGCCCTGCCTCTTGCCAGGGGTCTGACACCTTCATCTCCGATAACCTTGGCAGCAGGGCCGTGAGGCCGGTAGTGCCGTTCAGGGTTGCTGGTGGCCTGGCCCGGCACGGCCCCTGGTAAGAGAGAGCGCCGGATTCGGGCCCAACTGCCAGCTCCGTGCTGCGGCCCCGCCCGCTGTGGTGGGCGCTCCGAGCGCGGACAGCCTCTCCGAGCGGACGCGCCGGGAGGGGCAGCGCTGTCTTCCCGGGCGCTTGGCCCCAGCAGCGCCGCCCCTCGTGGCTGCCGCCTGCGTGTTGGCAGGGAGCGACAGCCTCAGGGAATCTTCCAGGGGCTGCCAGAGAGTGAGACTTGTAATGCCTCCGCTCTTCTCCAGAAATGACTGCTGAGCACGCCTGCACCAGGAAACAGTTCAACAAGAACCTCAGCGAATTTGGATTAATTCAGGTACCGGAGGTCACGAGGGCTGCGCGTGCGGGCTTTGCGTGTGCTTTCGTGGTCTGTGCTGGGGACTCTGCGGGGACTCAGCACAGCGGGAAAGGCTGGCGTGGCTCCCTGTTAGGGACGCCAGGGCCTGCTTCTCTGGGGCGTGGAGGCCTTGGCCTGAAGCACCTCCTCTGCCGCCGGCCCCCAGGGGCCCAGCACGTGTGGGCTGTGTGTTGATTGCGTCTTTCCCGGGACCCTCCAGGAGAAGTTTGCCCTGATGGTGCAGAAGGCTTACGTCATGGAAAGCATGGCCTACCTCACCGCGGGGATGCTGGACCGGCCGGGCTTCCCCGACTGCTCCATCGAGGCCGCCATGGTGAAGGTAGTGCGCACGGCCCGGGGCACTGGGGTGGCGGAGGTCAGCTTATCCTCGATCCTGCGTCCACGGCATCCCCACCCCCCACACCCGTGCTGGGCACTGCCCCGGGCCACACACGGGAGCCCAGGGTAGCGTGGGAGAGGCCGCCAGGAGCAGGGCCCGGCTGCGGCGTTCACAGGTCAGGCCCGTGTCTCCTGCGCACCGTCCATGCCGTCGTCTCCGTCTGTAGCAGACGGAGAAAATCTAGGCCGTGTGTGTCACTTCCTGTCCTTGTGAAACAGCAGCTGAACTTTCTTAGGAAGGACTTTTGTTGTGAATGTTCAGCCTTCCTATTTTGGGGTAAATACTAGAGTTTTCAGTATTTTCAGTTTGTTGGGGTAGAGGGTGAGGAGCAGGGGGTCGGGGGGTAGTGGTTTTTCTAGCTGCAGTATGAAAGAGGCCTCCCTGATTCGGGCCCCGTAATTCTTGTTGACCTGACGACCGGAGTCCGGGAGAAGGTGGGCGGCGAGGGGAGGGAACGGTGTCTCCAGGTGCCGGGTCCGAGGCATCTGCACTGGGTGCTTCTCCCCATCCCTCAGCAGCCCCCACACGCTGACAGCCCCGGAGGCTAGGCTCCAGCCGAGCAGGACAGTGACCCTGCTTTCCGGACGCTCGTGTGTGGACAGACGTGTCCGCGTGTCACCCACAGCCAGGTGTCCGGCCAGGCGGCTCACGGGCAGAGGAGCGAGCTGTGGGTGGGCGGGCCTCTTGGAGGAGGAGGGCCCTCCTGCCGCCTCCCCGGGAGACCGCTGACGCCGCCGCCGCCCTGGGTCTGCCGCAGGTGTTCAGCTCGGAGGGGGCGTGGCAGTGCGTGAGCGAGGCGCTGCAGATCCTCGGAGGCGCGGGCTACGTGCGGGACTTCCCCTACGAGCGCTTCCTGCGGGACTCCCGCATCCTGCTCATCTTCGAGGTGGGTGCCCGCCCTGCGCGCTCCCCTGGCCCTCCTCGCGGCGCCCTCCCTGGGGCTGGAGGGGGGCCCCGGGAAGGGCCCCATCTGCCGGCTCTGTGGGGGGCCTGGTGCCGCCCCCAGGGCTCACTTGGGGTCTGGGTTTCCTTCTCTGGGCCCCGAGGCGGCTCAGGGTCCTCTCCGTGGGCTTCCCAGCCCCGACGCCTCCCTGCCCCCTTCCACGGGGTCACTTCAGTGCGCGGGGAGACGCTGGGTGGGGTAAGCGAAGGGGGTGGGTGCCACGAGAGGCCTTCAGAGAGCTCGTGGTCTGACCGCACGGCCCAACTGAGCAGCGTGGACGGTGCCCGAGAGCAGGTGCCTGGGCCCTCGGGGGCACAGACCGCTTTGGCCTGGGGTGGTTTGGACCAAGGACAGGGATGGAGTGTGCCGGGCCCAGAAGGCCCTTACCTGCCGGCACGAGGTGGAATAAGCAGATCTTTGTGGGAGCAGCGGACACCGGGGGGGGGGGGGGGGGGGAGTAGATGAGAGGCAAGGAGCCAGGCTTGGAGGACCTTGGCCGATAAGGAGGGTCTGGATCTTACTGCGAAGGTGCTGGAAGCCCTCAGTGTTTCTGAGCAGGGACGGACTCGGGTGCGTTCCCACTCTGGGAAATTCCCGGGGCTGACATCGGGGCGGGCTGCAGAGGTGAGACCAGAGGCCAGCGCGCACAGCAGAAGGGCGGGTCACCTCCAGAGGCAGTGGGCACGGATGGGACCTTGGGATGGACAAGGCAGGCCCGCAGGCCAGGCTTGGAGCCTGAGCGACTGGTGTGGTGTCCGCGGGCCCCCCCCCTGCCCAGGGGACCCCACACCCCAGCTCCTGGCCCAGGGGAAGGCCTCGGGGCCACTCTCGTTCCCAGGTGCTCCCACATCCACGCCCAGGGTCCTCTTTCTTAGAGAGTAGACAGGATGGGACCCGCCTGAAGTCACGAGTCCCAAGGGCACGGGGACACGTCACTGCCTTGCTGCCCCAGGACAGCTGCTCCCAGGGCCCCTCCCTCGGCCCAGCTGAGCTCGTCGTGTGTGCGTGTGTGGGCCCGAAGCTGCAAGGGGCGCGGACCCTGCGGCGGGAAGCAAATGCTCTGGTCTGGAGCCTGCAAGGCCGGGCCTGGCCAGGCCTGAGGTGCTCCAGGCCTTCCTGCCTCGCCCGCGGGGGGCGCCCCGTCCACAGCTCAGACGCTGCTCCCTGAGAGAATCCCGGGGCGCAAGCAGCGTGCGTGGGGATAGCAGAGAAGAGGTGGCCCTCATTGACCCCTGGCAGTGGTGCAGGTCGGTGGCTTCCCTGAGGACTCTGCGCGCTGGGCACCAGGGCACCAGCCCCCCCCCCCCGGGGAAAGTGGTTTCTCCCATTAAGAGCCCAAGTGGACGCTTGAGAAGGGAAGGCTCCCCGTACAGCTGGCAGGTCCCCAGGGAGGCCATGGCTACCGGTGAGCACCCCCCTCGTCCCCGTGGGGGTGGGAGCCGGCTGCTGCTCTGACCCCAGGTCTCAGCCCTGCTCCCTGTGTGAGGCTTCCTCCAACCCCCGCAGCTTCTGCAGCACTGGGGGGGGGGGACACAGCGGTGTGGCCTCTGCCCCGTCAAGCGCGCGGCACAGCAAGGCCAGCCCAGTGGGGCGGCCCCTGACCTCCGTACTGCTGGCCACAGGGGACCAACGAGATTCTCCGGATGTACATCGCCCTGACCGGCCTACAGCATGCCGGCCGCGTCCTCACCGCAAGGATCAAGTAGGTGCCGGCCCCCCATCCGCTCTTTGTCCGCGGCCCATCCTAGGGCAGACGAGAGGGGCTGTCCCGTCCCCGTGAAGCCATGCCGCGCTCAGCTCAGTCACAGGCTGGCCGGAGGGAGGGAAGGGGACAGGAGGGACAGCTGCCTGGGAGGTCACTGTCGTCCACGGCAGCTCCCGTGTCCCACTGCAGGGAAGCGGTGTCCTCGGGGCCTAGGGACTCAGGGGCCCCCAGGTGCTGAGCTCCGAGGGCAGCAGGGGACCACTGTCTTCTCTCCCCCTGAGGCTCCCCTCGACCCCCGTCATGGGCTCGGAGCAATTGGGACTCCCTGCCGGAGCCCAGTACAGCGGCCCAGAGCATCGAGCAGACTCCCTACCCAGGCCCCCCGGGGGGCCGGCTGGGGCTGCTGCTCGTGGGAGAGCTCACGTGGCTCCACGTCAGGGACCGGCTCTCTGACAGGCCGGCCCAGGCCGGGGCCGGCGGCAGTAGGTCTGCGGTTGGTCCCTCAGTGCCGTGCAAGTCAGGGGAAGGGGTGCCCTGCGGTTCCGGGGTGCCGAGGGGGACCCTGCGCTGGGAACCCGCAGTGGGGCCTGAGGCAGTGGGGCCGGGGCTTTCCGCAGTGAGCTTAAACACGGCAACGTGAGCACGGTCATGCAGACCATCGGCCAGAAACTTCGAGACTCCATAGGCCGGACTGTGGACCTGGGGCTGACGGGGAAGCTGGGGGCTGTGCACCCCAGTGTCGCGGTGAGTTGGCCCATGGGTGGTACCCCCATCTGGGTGCCCTTCCGGGGGCTGTGCCCAGGGCGCTGGGGAAGACGGCCCCAGCCCGGGCCCCAGAGTGCCAGCCGGGCTGTGTCCGTGTGGGACAGGCTCCTGCACAGCAGACACTGAGCCGTCACCCCCCCACCCCCACTAGGACGGGGCCAGCAAGCTCGAGGAGAACGTGTATTACTTTGGCCGCACCGTGGAGACCCTGCTGCTCCGCTTTGGGAAGGTACCTGGGCCCTGCCAGACCTGGGAGCCAGGGCGTTAAGTGCCCGCCTTTGGGACCAGGCCTAGAGAGAAATCTCGGAGGGATGCCGTGGCGCTGGCTGGCCCCGGGGCCCCGGGTGGGGGGGTGCCTTCCAGGTAGAGAGCGCTCCTTGGGGGGGGGCAGCCCCACATCGAGGGTCCCGATCTGTGAGGCTGTTGCTGCTCCCGGGGACCTGGGGGCTCAGGGTTCTGGGGCCTGGTCTCCCCTTGGCCCCAGTCGAGGCAGAAGGGAAAACCAGTGCGCCAGCCGCTCGCTCCCCTCCACTGTGGCGCGAAGGGAGGCCCGGGCAGGGCCCCTGGGTTGCGAGCCCCCCCCCACCCCTGGGCTCTGTCCCCAGACCATCGTGGAAGAGCAGATGGTCCTGAAGCGGGTCGCCAACATCCTCATCAACCTGTACGCCATGACGGCCGTGCTGTCGCGGGCCAGCCGCTCCATCCGGGTGGGGCTCCCAAACCACGACCACGAGGTGAGGGACTCGGCTTCGTCCTCTGAACTTTAATGAGCCCAGTGGTTGGGGGGGGGGGGGGGGGGG